TAATAAAACCTATCATTTGGTACAATAACTAATGTTACATATGTGTAAAATGTAATAACAGAACCTATCCTTTGGTATAATAACTAATATTACATAATTAAATTATGTAATATTATTACATAATGTGTAAAATGTAATAATAGAACCTATCATTTGTTACAATAACTAATGTTACATATGTGTAAAATGTAATAACAGAGCCTATCATTTGGTACAATAACTAATGTTACATATGTATAAAAATGTAGTAACAGAACCCATCATTTGGTACATAACTAAAAACTGTAATGAAATGAAAAATTGGAAAAGAAAAGCTAACTAATCTAAACAAACAAATAAACAAACAAGCCCGACTTGAGCTAGGAGGAAGAGTCTAAACCCCCATCCTCCCCCAGGCTGATCCCAGCTGTGTGAGCATCAAGCATCCACAGTGTCAGACACACAAAGTGCAGGGGTCGGTGTATTACAAGGGTGGAACTCTCAGCCTCCCATGGGCTTCCAGAGGCCCCACCGTGCTTGGAACCCTGGCACTGCCGGCATTGTTAACCTCACAGCAAGTCTGAGCAGCCAGAGGTAACGAGCTCAAATGGGCTCTGGTGCAGTAATTAAGTCAGGGTGGAAGGGAACAGGATAATTAAGGGCAAGGAAACAGGAAAGGAACTTAAGGTCCTGGAGGAACTAAGAAGCTGGGGAGGCGTTCATGCAGGGGCAGGTGACAGCTCTGGGGGAGGACACAGGGACAGGGGACACACCCTGCTGTGGTTTTCTCCTGGAACATGTGCAGCCTTAGAATTCTATGTCCCAGCCCCTCTGCAAGGGTTTGAGGCCCAGAGGGAGGTCCAGCTCCCTGAGGGGGCCCTGTTGAGCTGGAACTGAAACCAGGCCTCTGGTAATACACACGCACCCCCCTCCCCATACCTCAGGATTCTAAAATCCAAAGACTGTGTGTGACTTAGCCCCTGAGATTGGGGCTTTGTTTCCTCATGAAGTTACCCAGTCCCAGGTGGATCCCATGCAGAGCCCTTCACTCAAGGTTTGTTGGCCAATTGGTAAATTCAGCAGATGGATTTTTCTTTTCTTTTTTGGCTGGTTGGATGGCATCTATCTCCTCTGACATCTGCTCTGTCACGGCACACAGGAGACAGCAGCTTTGATTGCCTCTCAGGGCACAGAAGGCTTCCAAAACAGCCTCAAGACTGCTGGCTGAGATGATCCAGCCTCACAGAATACTCCAGGACTTGACCATAATCCTAAATTTTCTTTGGGTCCCCATAAGATTATCGCCACCCCCAACCAGCAGGAAGTTGCCTAGAAAACTATGCCCACATTTCCCAAAATTGGATTATTGATGTTTGCCTTTATTTAGAGTATTGGTTATAAGCTATTATGGATAATGATTAGGAAAAAAGCTAAACAAAGGAGATTAGATTCAGAGTGCTTGCTTTGAAAAGAGAAAGGGAAATGCTGTGATATAATGCTCTTGTACACTGTAAAGATTTGTCACTCATATTGGTTTAATAAAATGCTGATTTACCACTAGCCAGGCAGGAAGTAGAGGTGGGGTGACCAGACTAGGAGAATTCTGGGAAGAGGAAAGGCAAAGATGCAGTCATCCAGAAGCAGAGGAAGCAAAATGAGAATGCCTCACTGAGAAAAGGTACCAAACCACACGGCTAAAATAGAATTTAGGGTTAATTTAAGTTGTAAGAGGTAGTTAGTAATAAGCCTGAACAACAGGCCAAACAGTTCATAATTAATATAAGCCTCTGTGTGTTTATTTGGGACTGAATGGCTGTGGGACCTGGTGGGACAGAAATTTCCTTCTGCGGTGTTGGCCAGGGAGAGCAGAGGAGGGAGATCACCTTCAGGTCCTGGGTCCTTCCCTAGGGCCTGTAAAAGTCTTGGATGTGACCAGAGAGGTTCGAGCTATGCCAGGTTTTAAAACACAAGCGGCTTTGTTTCAAACTCCCATGAGAAGATGATCTGGAAGCTGGCTCCGTACGCTTTTCCTCTCTCTCAATTACAATTTTGTCTCTTTTCATCTACGGGGATGTTGTTACCAGGAAAGAGGCAAGCCCCTGCAGCGACCCATGGAAGCAGAAGGGACTGCATGCAGAGCGAGAGACGCCAGGCTTTAGCGAGCATCCGTCACGTGCCGAGCCCTCCGTGGGTGCTGGCCTGCAGTTTCCAGTGCTCCGGATGGGACTGGAGTCAGCGCTGTGTCTGAGCGCGCACAGCGGGTGTTGATTGTGTCGGTATTAATTAGAGCTGCTCAGGCCCGCTGTGTGTCTCCCACAACGCTCTTCTTTCTACATTCTCACGAGCACTGCCTAAGGAAGGGGTCACTATTTTGATTTCAAAGCCCAGGAAATTGAGGCTGAGGGACTGGCGACTTGCCAGAATCTCCAGGCAAGCCCAGGGCGGAGCCAGACCTTGAACTCAAGTTCCTTTCCAAATTCCTTTAACCCTCTGGCTGGTCGCCACAACTCACATTGATTTGGGACTTGGAAAGGCACTGGGCAGCCGGTTGGGACACTCAGGCTGGAACATGCTGTACACCAGGGCACTGGGTGGCCTTGGGCAGGTCCTTGCCCTCCCTGGACCCCACTCTGTCCATTTCTGTGACGCGAAGGCTTGAACTCAACTGTCTTCTTGCTGTGACTCTCTCTGGACCTGTGTATGAACGAGCAAGGCTGGGGCCACTCCAGGGTGAGAAAGCAAATCATGGACACCCTGCGCTTTCTGTCCCTCCCTGGGGGGTTTGTCTGACCCTTCCACGGGGAGGATTTAGCTATGGTGTCCGCTTGAGGAGCCGTGGGCAGGTAGTATGTGCAGGATGTATGGTGTACAAAGGATGGCTAGCTTCCTGGGCGAGACACAGAACGAGCACAGTGCTACTCACAACTGCGTGTGATGTAAAGGTCAGAAACCATTTCTGGAATTTTTCTATTTGAAACTATTGGTTTTGGTTTTTTTTGAGACAAGGTCTCCCTGTGCAGTTCAGGCTGGCTTGGAACTCCACGTCCTCCTGTCCTTGCCTCCCCAAGGTGGGATTGCAGGAGTCTTCCACTGGACCTTGCTTCTATTTAATATACTTGGATCATGGTGGACAATGGGTCACAGAAGCCCTGGAACACAAAACCACGGAGAAGGGAAGCTACAGTCATTCCCAGTTCAACGAAACAGCCAGGCTCTATGGAAATACTTTGGGAAAAGATGCTTCAAGAGAGCCTGTTTTCCCACGGGGCGCAGGCTGGAAGTGATGAGCCCAAGCAAGGCATGTTTAGGGGCCCCATACTCCTGACTCTGGGGAGGTGACATCCACTGGGCAGACTACTGCTGCCTCTGCTATAGAGATCTTCCCATATGTGTCAGGGCTCTAGACCAGGAGTTGGGGGATTCCCAGGCCTGGAAATTCTTCCTAAAATAATTCCACGCTCCACCTCAAATCCCCATAAATCGGTCACTCTCAGCTCCGTTTCTTGGAAGAAGTTGGCGCGTGATCAAAAGTTCTGGAATCACCACAGGAAGTGGCCACTTGAGCAAGGAGAGAGGACTCTGGTTAAAGAGCCAAGAATTCTGGGTCCCAATCTCCCCTCCTGTAATTACAGGCATGTGCCGGATGAGCCCGGATTCAACTCCAGCTCTGCCATTGGGAGTTGCCCAGTTCCTGCCAAGGCGGGAGCCTCGTTGAGCCCTGGCTTTCTCTTCATGCCGAGGATTGAAGTATCTGTCTAGCGGGTTCTCGGGAGGATTTCAGAGGGAGGGGCAGGGCTTACAGTACCTTGGCACGCAAGGATGCAGTTGCTGTGTAAGCTGCTGCTACCCACAGGGCGAGTGTCCCTTCACCCAACCTAGCAAGACACTCCAGGACACTTGATCTTTCTGCTTGCTAACAGACACAATGGGTGAATAAATGCTCTGAGCCACCAGTTGCTGTGACCCCACCTCTGCACCCCCAGGTCACAGCCTCTCTCTGAAACGCCTCCAGGGCCCCTCCACCCAGATGTCAGGTAGCCAGTGTGCGCACTGAACTGTCTGTCTCTCTTGTTAAATCTTTCCTGTCGTCCCAGGCGCTGGCGCCACCTCTGCCCTGATGTTCCAGGCTTCCAAGTCCTTCCCCCATCGGTCTCCCCTCCCTTCTCTAAGTACCCTCAGATCGTCCCTCTTGCCACCTCCACCACCTCATGCCCACGTCAGCTACATGGCAACAGCCGTGTCTTCTCTGATTGCCAGATTCTAATGTGTGTTTCCAGTTCATTCTCCCGCTCTGGACAGAGATGCCTTCAAAAAAGTAGGGCCCCTCATCACCCCTTGATGAGATGTCACCCCATTATGACCCTCCCTGCATGCTGGTTGCTGCAGGGTGGGGGGCTCCTGGGGAGGGAGACCAAGAGGAAGAGTCGCTGGCAGAGTGCTCATTGGGGGAGTTCTCTCATAATCGGTCTCTGTGAGGGGCGGATAAAGTAGAACCAGGCAGAGGGACAGATTGGACTTCAGAGCAAACCCCTCAAAGGCCTTTGCATGCTTCTCCTGAAGGTCTGGAGCTGGAAGAGCTATGTGTGCACAGGGGTGTGTGTGTGTTAAGATACAAGTGTTCCCATGAGTGTGTGCTGATGCCACACACATGTTGTTTGTGGAGAGCAGAGGTCAATGTTGGGTGTCTTCTTCAATTGTTCCCTATTTAAGTTTGTTTCTCATTTACATATGTGTGCACGCGTGTGTGCATACATGTGTGAATGTGTGCGTGTGTGTGCGCATGTGTGCGTGCGTGCTCATAAGCTCTCACCCTGTCTCTCGTGTGGTCATGAGAGGACAGCTTGTGGGTGTCCCTTCTCCCTTTTCACCATATGGGTCCTGGGATCAAATTCAGGCGGTCGGGCTTGGCAGCAAACCCCACCTCACCACTAAACCATCACACTGACCTTCTACTTTATTTCCGGAGACCAGGTCTTTCACCAGACACAGAGTTCGTCCATTTGAATGAGCTGACTGACCAGGGAGTTCCGACCCTCCTGCCCTCACCTCCTCAGCACTGGGATCATACACGGCATACGTGCCTCTGCACCTGAATCTTCCACAAATGCTGGGGGTCCACACCCAGGTGTTTTCAGGCTTACACAAGGACTTTTCTACTGAACCATCTCCCCAGTCTCTAGAATGACTTCTCACAATTGTCCCTAATGGAGGGAGGAGTCCTGGACCCCCACGCTTCTTGCGAACCAGTTACAGGACACAAGAAAGGGAGGTAATGGCAGGGAGGGGGAGTCAGCCTCAGACTTTGCCCCTGGAAATCCCAGCAACTGAAGAAGGAAGGATCCAGCCTGGGGATGCAGAGGCATCTGGGCTGCACTCACAGTGACCACCGCGAAAGTGCTTGGAAAGTCTATCGTGTAACGCACAAAATCGCTCGGCCTTCAGGCGAGGTCGTGCATGATTTGGTACCCCAGGCTCTGTGAGATCTGCCCCAAACATCCTCCCTTCTTCCCTCACTGCCTTGCTTGCCACTTGCTCCCAACTGTCTAACCACGCTGTGCCTCTCACAGCTTCCCAAGCTCAGCAGGCCATTTCATACCTCTCTGCCTTGGCTCGTGTTATTTCATTTGCCAGGGATGCCTTTAAGTGGAAAAGGGAAATCCTCTTCTCTTCTATCAGCCAGCTCCTACTCTTCCGTCAACACTGCAGCTAAGCACTGCCTCCCCTGGGAAGACTTGCACTAAGTCTTTCACGCTGATGCTGCCGCATGCCCAGGACACAGCCACGGGGCACTGATCTGTCCATGAGGGCCAGTACCTGGCTTCTTCCCAACTCTCAGGGCAGGCCCTGGCTACTTGGTTTCTCTGGTGTGTACTAAGGTGGGATGTAAAAAGAAAGGTACCCAGGAAGAAGCACATGGATGGAGTTGGACAGTATTGTGGTCGACATCATCCTTCTCCCTTTCCTTGCTGTTTCCACCACCATCATCGTCTTGCCAAACCATTCTGAGTGCTGACTACGTCCCAGGCTCGGTGCCATGTGTGTTTCGAACACGCTTCCCGCTGGTCTCTATTTTCTTCTCACCATTAACAACCCTCTGAAAGTAGGCACTATCGTTATCACTGTTTTACGGGATGGAAGGCTGAGGCTGGTTAGGGGTGGGAATGATCCGAGGACACCCTCCATCACACCCTCTTGGGCAGTCAGCCACAGTGACCTCAGCCCTCCCGCTTACATCACTGTCTGCTTGCCTAAATGATCTGTGATGCAGGGTGGAGCTGTATGAGCAGCCGCAAGATCTAGGAGGGGCCTTGGGAGGGGTGGGGGACACCATTCGGAACCACATCCAGTCTTTCAGATCCAACCAAGACAGGGTTTGATTCATCCACAATTACTTCATATTATACGTTGCATGGAAAGTGTGTTCCAGCCCCATGTCTGCAAATCTGGAACCTGTCATCTCACAGAGAGGACTTGCTGAAGGTGTAGCTCAGCTGGTGTGGAATGTTTGCCTCGCATGCACAACCTTGGTTTAACCCCTGCACCACATAAAGTCGGGGGTGGCGGTATACCTTACCCTCCCAGCATCCCAGAAGTGGAGGCAGGAAGATCACAAATTCAAGGCCATCCTTGGCTATCTACGCATCAAGTTTATAGCCTGAGATTCATGAGTCCGTGTCTCAAAAACAAACAAGCAAACGAACCCCAAAGGGTAGAGACCTTTGCAAGAACACACGACCCATCCAGCAATAACCAGGGCTGCAGCCTGGGGCCTGGGCTCCCTGCCAAACTAACTGGCAGAAATGAGCAATCGGAGGGTGCTGAGCAGGGGTCTCCTCACTCAGAGGAGTGTGCATCCAAGAATTAACGGTAAGGCTCAGAATCTTGCAGAAAAATGGATCTTGAGACCCCAGGGGTGAGGCCTCTGACCCCAAATCAGCCCCCACAGTCAGGTGGCTAACGGAAAACCCCCGCTCTGTCTCCTCTGACTTAGAAACTGTACAGTTAGTCAGGGATGAAGCTGAAACACGGTAAACTCCAAATCTGGCCACAGTAGCAACAGATACACAAACGAGGAACAGCAGAGTCTGTGAGTGACTTCCACCCAGGCTGATTGAAACCAGGAGCCATTGTGGATTTTGGAGAAATGTCTGATTACTCAAGCCTCAGTCTTCCCCTTCTCCACACAATGGGAGTGAGAGCTATTACCTGGCAGGGTTGTCACGCACACTCAGTGAGAAAAGCATTGAAGGTATTCAGTCAGGTCACGAGATCTGGGGCAAGAAGCTCTTAATGGCAGTTGCGTTATTTCGTTTGGAGTGGACACAGATGGCGGATTTGTCTGTGATTCTAGTCCTCACTAGATAGGGCTGAGTCTTCTATGCCCCTGGAGCCCAGCGTGAATTGAGAAAGCATCCCAGCTCTGAGGATGGAAGAAGGGGCAGCTGTGACTGCCTTAGGGATGAGAGGAGCAAAGCCTGGGGGAACCAGAAGATTTACTGAGGTCACCAGGAGTGTCGGTGACAACAAACCTTGAAAAAGGACCTCATCCTGGGAGCTGGAGAGATGGCTCAGAGGTTAAGAGCACTGGCTGCTCTTCCCAGCAACCACATGACAGCTCACAACCGTCTGACATGAGATCTGGTGCCCTCTTCTGTTGTGCAAGCATACATGCAGGCAGAACACTTTATACATAATAAATAAATCTTTGGGGGAAAAAAAAAGAAAGAAAAAGAACCTCATCCTGATCCTGAGCCAAGCCCAGCAGAAAGACTTTGTCCCATAGTCTCTTGGGGTAAAAAGATGATTCTACCAGCTGCTGCCCTGCCTCTGCGCCAGCTGCCAGTCTGAGGAGGAATCCTGACTCAGGATAGGTGTGGCTACTCCAAGATCACAAAGCTACACTGGCCAGACTCGACTAGGTCTATACCCCAGACTCAGAGACTGAGAGACAGAGACACCAGCTCAGGAGAGAAAGCTCATTTGGAAAATTCCGGATGGGCAGACCCCTGGCAACAGTTGCTTGTCCCTGGACAGCCCTCACTCTCAATCAGCAGGAGGCATCTGAGGGTCCCGAGAAGCCATAGGCTGGATTTGCACATCCCACCGGACCCTAACCTGGCACCTTCTGGACCATAACCCCTCCCCCCGACAGCATCATGTGCCTGTAACCCCCACACAACCCCACCCCATCCCCACGGTGCCATTGCAAGGGCTGTCCCCTGCCTAGAAGCTTCCCTTGCCTTGTGCCTGGAATTCTTGCTCCTCTTTGGTTTCTCAGCAGGGGTCTCTGCTTCTCGCACAAGTCAGCTCTCCTGTCCCCAGCCTGGTGCTTCTCGGGGACCAGGTCACTCTAAGAGTCACTATGTCTGTGTCTTGCATCAAATAGAAGTCTCTAGAAAGTAGAAGTGAGCTCTGACGCAAAGCAACAGTCCCTGATGCGTTAAAGTCCGACTACAAAGGTTCTTCGGCTCCCTCTCTCCTTCCCTTCCTCCCCCAAAGGCTGCCTGAATACCTACTATGTGCCAGGCTGTAGGAAGAGAGTAAAGTCTTGTGTGAGTGTGCGTTGTTTGATACGGACAGGGCCATGCCAAGGACCAGTGCCTCAGTCCCGTGTGAGAGGCAAAGCCATCCTTTGATGTGCGTGTGGATACTGATAATGTGTACAGGAAAGCTCCACCATAGTTTTCCATTCCCACCAAGGTGTGTGCAGCCTGAAGACCGCTCCCCGACAGAGACTGCTCCTACGACATTAGCCAAGCCGCCTCCTTGTTCCGCTGTACACCCTAAACCCCGCCCCCTTGTTTTATTTATTTTTTTTTATATGCTATAAACCTGCCTCCCTGTTAAAGTGTTTATAATAACAGGCTGAGTTGCCAGGGTGCTGCGGCTTCCCTACCTGAGAGCTTTTTTTCTGTGTACATGAATCTATGTGTGCATGTAATCGTGTGTGCGTGGATTCATGTGTCGACCCTTCCTTCATCTTCTTTGTCACCCCTAGGTTGCAGTTCCAGGACAAACCCACGCCATGGAATGTCTCAGCGTCAGGCAACTGTTCTGGGTGCGGGAGTTGGAACGGTGATCAACAGAGATCCTGTGACGTGGTCATCATTCTCCTAAGGGGAAGGCGAGGAGAGCCCAGAACAGATGAAAACTCTGACTTTGTTTGGGTGGTAACAGACACTAGAAAGTACAGAGCTGAGGGCTGGGGGCCAGGGTGGGGGGCTCAGGTCTGCTCCCCATCCTCTCAGGCTGCCCAGAGCTGCAGGGGGGGATGCTGTGAGCAGGAAGCTCTGGTCCCCGGATGTGCCAGACAACCCCTACCCACAGCACACTTCCTGGCTCTCCAGGAATTTGACTCAGCAACCGTTCTGAGGAGTCAGTTGTGAGCCGACCACAATAGATACCATTATGCAGGGCCTTGGGAGCCCCATGGGTGGAGATGACCTTCCCGTTACAGAAGTCTGACTAGTCTCCTCTGAAGGAGGGCCCAACGTCACACAGCCCACACAGCCCATCCATGGCCCAGCTAGGATGTGACTCCTGGGTCCCACTGTCTCCCTACCCCATGTCCCATAGCCTCCCTAAGGCTTGGAGCGACTTGTAAGCAGTCTGTCTGCTGGTGCAAAGAGTCAGGGTGTGTCTGGATAGCGAGGTGCTTGACACACAGTCAAGATTGCTGAGTGGGGTGCACGCTAGTCCCTCCTGAAGCTTGGGGGGGGGATGCTCACACCAGGAGTCCTCTCTACCCCTCCATGGCAGCTGTGCCCTATGCCAAGATGGCCTATGAACCATGAAAGGTTTGCTCTGAACTTGGGCATAGGTGAAGGCAGTTTATACACCCAGCATTCAACTGACCTGGCTGGAAGCCCAGGTCCAAGGCCAGGGCTGGGCTGAGGGTAGGGTTAGCTGCCAATCAGAGCATTAGATGAGGGTGGAGTCGAGAATAGGGGATTCGTGAATTCCTGCTGATACAGGATGACTCTGCAGTATTCCCGGTCCATTCTCCCCAGAGGGCCAGCTGCCGTTCCTGTTCTTGGGACATAAACAAGGAACTGTCGCCGAGGCCCTACTATGCACCAGGTCTCCTCTTAGGCATTTCCTGGCCTCCTCTGTCAATGCAGAGTTCTGGCTTGTAAATGCCTTGACAAGAGATCCCCATCCCTGTGTACCTGAAGGCTTGAACAACAGAATCGTGTTACCTTACTGTCCTGGAGGGCCAGGTGTCCAGAGTCAGCAGGCTTGGTTTCTTGAGCCCTCACTTCATGACTTGTATATGGCCACCTTTATACATGGCTTTCAACACGTAGATCCACATGCAAATCTGCTCACCCTAGGAGGACACCAGTAACACAGAATCAAGGCCCAGCCTGTTCAACCCATTGTCACTTGTACCTCCCCCCAGATAGTCATGTTCCAAAATACTCTAGGACCTTTAAGAGAGACTGATGGGTGGGGAAGGAATCACAAGTCTGCCTATATTAATGAGAGACAACCAGGCTTTGAACTTGGGTCTTTTAGATTCCTCTTTGATCCACCCCTTTTCCCTTGTACCCAAACACTGCTCTCTGGCCTACATGCGTGTGTCAACCCCATACATGTGCTTTGCCTATGACTTCATCCACAGATGCCTCATGGTGAGTACCAGGAGGACTGTGAGACTGGGTGGGGGTGGGGCATGCTCACAACAGGAGTCAGGAGGGACAGAAGGGCGTGAACCTGACCTTCCCCCACCACCTCTGTAGTCTGTCAAGTTGGGAGCATAGGCCCCAGCCCCTCGCATCTATCCCAGCCCCCAGGCCTGGTCTGGACTCCAAATCCCAGCAGGCCAGAGTATTTAAATGAGCTCCCAAAAGAGGAACACGTGGTCCCTTTTCCTTCCTCCCGGTTTTCCTGTTAGCGTGGCTTTCCCGGTTCCCCCTGGGGCCACCCAAGAGCTCAGAACGCCCATTAAACCTGGATATTTCTTAATTTGGCTTGATTGGGAATTTTGTGCTGGCAGGGAACTCGTGTTAGGAAACATTCCTAACAGGGTCCACTTCAGCAGTGCCGTGGTCTGGTGCCTTGACTGACCCTCCTGGCTCGGGCAGAGGCCCATGAGGCACGAGCCATTAGATTGCTGGGATGCCCAGAATGAACCCTGCCCCAGGGGCAAGTACAGAGAAAGCTTCTGCCCTCGGTCAGTAGAGACGTCTACGGATAATTTGCAGCTTTGATGCCCATGTCTGGACGGCACGGCTTCTCTCCTACCATCCTCAGACGCTGTGAGGGCCACTGTGGAAATTCAAAAGCTGCCGGACTCCTCCTCTCTAAGGAGCATGGCCACAGTTTCCTGACTTTGAACAGAGAGAGTCTCACCTAAGGAGCTGGCATTCAGAGCGAGAATGCCAGTCTGAAAAGGACCCGAGGAGCGTACCCATGGATCAGAGTTGTTTGCTAAGACTGTGCAGGGGACTAGCCCTGAGCCCGGGAAGGGCACCTTCCTCCCCCACCTGCTCCCCAAGACTCCAGAGTCTTTGGTTATATCAACCCAGCAGAAAACTCCCAGGACACTGCTTCTGAGGGAATTCTTTCACTGTCCCTCAGGATTCTGATTCCGCCCTACAATGCCCTGAAGCACACACACAAAAGCTATAGTCTCCCTGTAAGGAATATTTTCTAACACGAGCTCTCTTGCCAACTCAAATCAAATCAGACCAAATTAAAAGATATCCAGGTTTAATTGAACTCCTGTGCTCTCGGGTGGCCCTGAGAGAAATAGAAAAGCCACCAATGCGACCACGGGGATGAAAGAGGGAAAACCACGTTATTTGGGGGGGGGGGAAGCAGTTTAAAGAGCCTGGGGGAGTGGTCTTGACCTTTTCTGGGGAGGGGTCAAGGTTTGGCGGACTACCTTGACCCCGCTTGGGGAGGGTTCAAAGTTCAGGAGAGGAGGATTTACAGTCCCTGCCCGGCCACCCTCTCCTCTCACTTCTCCCAGTCATCTGACTGCCTCGGCTGAGCAAGCGGCGGCACCACTGTTTGTACAGACTCACAGTTGGCTTCTGTCCCTGGAGATAAGAACTGCCAGCCCAGGTCACCTACCATGTCTAGGGCGCCCCAACCTGGAGTGCCTTGAACCAGGCTGGCAGCTAGCCCTCGGTCCACCTGCCCCTGGGGCCAGGCCAGCTCCCTGTGCTGTTGGCTGAAGGGCCTGATACATCGCCACCCATCAGCGAGAGGGCACATGGAGTGTGGCTGGGGCTCCCCCAGACTTCCCTCCCCGACACTCTGAGAGAAGCCATTAAAGGTAACGAGCGACTCTGATGTAGGAGGTTGGATCCAAAGCTTCCCGTTACTGCTCTGGAAGCCAAAAAGGTGTCTAACACTGTCTTGTCTGCTTCTCCCTCCGAAGTGGGGAGCGATAACAACGGGGCTTTCCTTGTGGGCCTGAGAAGACTAAGAGCAGAATTATGTCATGTCTGCCGGGAGCCGCAGTTAAGTGTCTCTTACCTCTGTCTGTGATGATAGGTGCAGACCACGTA